CGATTGTACTTGTTTTTTGCATGCAAATAAATCGAAAGATGTAGGAAGATCTGTCAAAAATATTAGGCTATGAGAGCCATTATTTCTGATGATATGTTATACACTTTCAATCTTCTAGGGACTTCAAAAAGTAATTTTTTGGTAACTTCTTCGCTTTTTTTATGGCACAATAAAAATCAAAAACGAGCCTGAACTTGTGGCTATTAGTGAGTCACACGGGTATCAATATAATGCGACAACACAATACAAAATTAGTATTCCAATGGTATTCAACATATTTCTTAAGCAAACCTCGTATATATTCTCAACTGCATTCAAGATGTTTTACATATTACCTTCTAAAAGCTATTAAGTCTTACATTGTAAACACTTTTAATACAAAATTGTTGATTTCTCTATGTACCTAACTTCCTTCTCTACTTCTATTATAAAACACCAATCACTAATGAAGCCAAGTTACAATAAAATCAATTACAATTCTTTGTTGTAAAAGCTATAAGTTAATTAAAAACAATGACTAACAGCAAATGTAATAAATTCAAAAAAGTTATTTAATCTGAAGGGTATTTACGAACGTTTACTCTCAGTTTCGATTTAGCGTTGTGTTGTTTTTGTTTGGGTCGCTGAATATGATTAATAACAGTGGAATCGATGAGCTCACTCAGTCAAATCTATATATCAGTCGGATATGCTATATGTGGGCGTAAAAGTAATAAGAAATACATATTTACAATATATTATCAAACAATGTTTAATATGCAGAGTCTGGAATTGGCAATGCCCGGAAGATGAAATAAAAACACACATAATTAACATTTGTGAACGATTCAATTATGGCATAAAAAAGTAATTAAAATATATGTAATGCGACGTCTGGCAATTGGCTGTAAAAATTGCTGAAATGCAAAGCTACAACACTTTTTTACGAGTTCCCATTTAAGTGTTGACTTTCATGTTGCCTGTGTGTGTGTGTGTGTGTGTGTGTGTGCTCCACAAATTGCCCGCCCGTTCCGGCCGGGGCTAACCACTGCAGTTGGGGAACAGGGTAGGGGCATTCCCTGTGTCAATGCGGCAGCGATTAGACAGAATAATGATAATTAACTTGTCAGTGTGTTGTTCAATTGGCACAAGGCACAACAAACACACAATAGAAAGCAACAATGGCACACTCAATCTCAAGAGCTGCTAGAGCGCGCGATATGTGAAAAGGTAAAGCAAACAAAGCGATGCACCTATAAAGCCATCAAAAACTTCTGTTGCTCATTATATGATTATTTAATAAAAATATATTATTTCTCCTTTGTCTTACCTTATTCAAATACTATTAAATTAGTTCTATGAGCAAATATAACTACAAAGGATTGAAATCATATGATTGAAGCATTCTAGAATTTTTAAATAGTAGTATATTTAAAACGAAGGTGCAAATTATTTTAATTTAAAAACAATTCTTTGCAAATAAAGAAAATCTATTTTTAGCAAATTAAAAATGCATTATCAACAATCTCAGTTTCACATTTATAATGTTAGATATTTGTGCTGATAATATTTCCTACTTTTACCAGGCAGGAGATACTGACTGCATGATACTCTCTCACGCATAATAATTAGTCAAATTTTGTAGCTCTAGGAACATATATATATATATATAATTTTTGGTAAATGTACAGTAATTAAGTTATTATTTCCGTTTCGAGCTGTTAAGTTCTAGAAAATATAGTTATGTCGATTTGCCACGCGCCTTGTAGACGTCCATATATCATTTTTGATTAATTTTAACAAATACTCACATATTAAGCCAAAGGCTGAAAAACTGTGAAGCAAATTTATAATTTACCATTATTATCTAATTATCTAATCCAAGTTTCAAGACTCTAGACTAAAGACTAGAGTATCTAATCCAAGTTTAAAGACTCTAGCTTAAGGACTAGGGCATAAAAGAGTATCTAATCCAAGTTTCAAGCACGACAGGCATTGCTCACAGCCAATATACTCTACTCATTTCGTGAACGAGTACAAATATTTTGTGATAGCCACAATAATTGGAAAATGCATTTTGCTACAACGCGTTTAAGCATAATATCTAAATGTAATTATGAGCATTTGTTCGGAATGCTTATCATTAACATAAATATATTCTGAGTTATGGAACACCCGCAATTTAAACTAGGGCCAAATAACGGCTAAATATATATATATTTGTGTACATAAAAATTCCATAAACAGCTGATTCACTTGGTATTTGAGCAGACATCAAATAGTTGCTAGTCAAGCTTTTAGCTAAGCTATTTAATTATTGATTGTTGTTGCGCTGGCTGACAGCCTGGCAGACAAATTGACGACTGCCACCAGTTGCGTCCGCTACACTTTGCTTCGTTGTCTTCATTTTGATACACTACTGCCCAAAGGGCAAAGGGGTATATTAGTGCTGCATGGAATGATTTTTGAGTGTACTTCTAGCCGTTAGAGACTTATGGATGTTATGCAAAGTTTTGCAAATTGTTTCACGACTTTCAAGTGGCACTTAGCAGTGCCGAAAAATCGATAATAAATCGATATTTCTTGCAATGTTTTAGAACTAATGCAAATATTTATAACATATATTTTAGTTGAGCTACTCTAAACCAGTATCTGCCGACCCTTAATCATGTCAATCCGTCTAAGTTCCCATAACAAAATAAAGGCCAAGTCAGTGAAAGTATTCTCTAGTCAGTAACACTCGACAGCTAAATGCCGATTCGTTTTGTTGTTTGTTGCAACAATTTATTTATAAGTTATTCATAAGGGATTCGCCGGCTTTGTTGTTCACGCTCGGAAGTGGCATTTAAGTTTCATACTTGATATGTATAGCGAACCACAATGAGCAGCAGCGGCAGCAGCCGCAGCAATAGCAGGTGGAAGTGGTTGACCCTGACTGCAGTGACGAAAGTCTCAGACAGTGGCTGGCCTCCAGTTCCAGATCAGCTGTGGCTAACACATTTGAGCCAATAGGCAAAGCGAAATGACTCTTTTATTGTTTTTGGCACAAGCAATTCTACACAAAGTGCTCGCAGATCAAAGAGAATTATTTACGGTCTTGGCTAAACTGATTGATCTCACAAGGCTTTGAAAGAGTTATATTTAGATGTGTATTATGAGTACTTAGAATAGCTTAAATTTGTTTATAAATAGTAAAAAATATATACATAATGCTTGAAAATAAGTTAAGATAAGTTAATACCACAGAATTCATAGAACACTTAGACACCTTGTCAGATTGAGATAGGAAATGCCATGAATAAGATAGAACCGATACAAAAGTTAGAACAGGGAGAGGAACATTTTTACTTAAAAAAGTTTCTTTAGTTTGATAATAAAATAAAATAAATAATTAAAAATTCCTGAAAACTTTAAAATATTTATGGAGCTGAAGCCGAAAGGTCAATTATAAATTTCATTTAAAACTTGTAAACTTTTAGTCGAAAAACTTTTAACTTTTCACGTTTTTTGAATTGAATTATAAACAATTTAAACACACATTTGACTTTCACACTTGGCTTTCACTTTGTGCATCGCTGATTTGATAAACTAAAAGGCAGTTGCAACTGGTTTGGCTGGAAGGAACCCTGACATTGATCGCCATTTGCACAGTTATTCAAATTGAATTAAAATTTGTGGTTTGCATTTGATTCAGTTGCGCAAAACGATGAATCGTCATCAAAAAGACAATTAATGTATCATGCGTTATAAATGGGACGTGTGTGAACTGCTCGAGGGGTATATCAACTGGTTTTAAATATTTCCGCTGATTGTCTTGGTAGTTCCCGAAGCCGTCTCGACAATCTCTACAACAAATCTAGAGAGTTAACAGTCCAAATAGCTATAGTTATTGTTATTGCTTTATATTGAACACGTGGAGAGATCGCTATAATTTTTAAATAGAAATCTAGCTAACCTTCAAGTGCCCAATTAGTTGGCTGACCTGATCAAAGTTTTAGGAATTAGATAAGCCACGCAGAAATTAGCTAATAATGCTGATGCTTTTGGAATTCGTATCAGCTTCGCATTCCAATAAAGATATGATGGTCCATAACACACTTCAGCCCTTGGACAATGTAATAAACGGGCGCTACGTAGTCAGAAAGTGACTAAAAACCATGACATGGCTAGACATATGTATATGTACCATGAGATCATACGAGCCACTATAAACATTGCCTGAATTACCCGATAAGCCGCTGATAAGCGGCCGCCCAAGTTTCCAAGTACCAACGGCACTCCGATAATGCATGGGGACAGTTATTACTGGCACGCAAATCGGGTGGGGCGTGTCATTTCGTATATTTCAATGGAGCGAAGAGGGCGGCCTCTTCTAGAAATCTATTGTCTGTCTATCAGCACTTTGGTGCTACTGCTGAGTGTATGTCTAATGTCTGAGTTTTATGGTATATTATTTGAATTATTGTACAAAATTGCATTTGATTTATATTTATATTTTGACAAGATAAAGAAGTTATCTTTCAATCAATCTTCTTAGATTAATATATTCATAGGTCATCTCGCAACATTTAAAACATTAAAAGCTCGAGCTTTGTTCTTCATTTTAAAATACAATCAAACTCCAAAATGAAAGGCAAAATAAAGTAAACTAAATTTAAGTTTATTTCAGGCAATTCTTGATCACAATTTTAGTCAAATTTAAAGCTTCGTAATTTCAATATAATTCTTCTATTTACATTATTCAAATAATTTCAAAAATATATTTTCATATAGTTTCGAAAATTCCATCTATGTTTATACTTTGCGCCGTAATTATTGGAAATTTAGAAACTCTGTGGAAGTTTACAATATAAGTAAAAAAGTTTGCTTCAAGTTAAAAAAAATAAATTATGAATATTCAATAATTCACCCAATAAATTAGTATCCCATATATATCACTAAACCCAAATCATTCATATATAAATTTCACTAAATTTAAATTACAAATATATAAAAGTGTATATATCGTATTTAAGACTTACCAGAAAAGTATTCTTAATGAATTTGCTACCAGCAGGGCCAGACATACGTAGAGTGAGAAGCCATCGGCGTCCTGCGTCTTCTTGATTTCAATATATTGCGGTACATAGGGTATTACGCCGCCGATGACCATAGCTGAGGCGGCCGCCCAGCCGACGACGTGACCGACTGTCAGACCTAGTTCATCGCTGATGATCCAATCCATGTTGTATGTGTGCGTGTGTGAGTGTGTTATCGAATTATGTTATCGAACCTTATAATCTCTACTTAAATTGACGGATATGTTTGCTGTTGCTGGATTCTCGCTGTGTCCTTAGGCAAAAATGTTGACTAGTTGCAATGCCAGCGTGCTGGAAGTTGTTGTTTTTGTTGTTTCTTTTCTTGTTGTTGTCTTTTGCATTATCATGCGGTAGCAGCGACGTCAGCGTAGGCGTCTTTAATTTGCCAAGCAGAGCAAACCAAGTGACCGAACGAGCGAGCAAGCGAGAGAGAGAAAGAGAGAGATTAGCTTTATGTCAGCTGCTTAGATGCTGCGACGTCGGCGTCGTCGTCGTCGTCACCGTCGTTGTTGGCACTCAGGTAACAGTGAGTGAGTGAGTGAGTGAGTGAGTGAGTGAGTGTGTGTGAGTGTGTGTAAATGCGTTTGCAAATGCCCGAAGAGGAAGTCAACGGTTGTGGCTAGTTGTTGTTGTTGATTACCGTTGTTGTTGTACGCCCACTGTTGTTTTTGTTTGCAATTCGCTTTTGATTTTCACTTTTGTGTTTGTTTTCTTGCTACAGTGGCACACACGTACACACACACGCTCACATCAAGACAGCTGCTTTGCAAAATTTCTTTTCTTCTCTTCGCCTTTTATTCTTTATTTTCTTTTTTTTTATTTTTTTTGTTATTGTCGCGCCGTTTTGTATTGAATTTTCCACAATTTCTGCCACGCCGCGCGCGCTCACTTTTACGATCTGCCCGCAAATGTTCTGTGTACGAATTTCAAGCAATGTCCTATACTAAAGCTACACACGAAGAGAAAGATGTAGTCTCTTTCCATTTCCCCATGAGTTTGTTGAGTTTGTCGAGCAATTTGTTTGACTGACTTTGCTGCTCTACGTTTGACTGCCAGTTAATTTCATTTCTTCTCTTTGATTACATTTTCATTTCGAGTGCGGAAAAACAAATTTGTTGACTTAATTAGGTGTAGTTGTTTTGTTGATTTTCTTTTTCATTGCTGGTGTTTTGTTATATCGTGATTCTTTCGCATAATTTTTCGCGTGCGTCTCGGTGCTTCGGTTTATCTATATTATTATTATTATATATATATACTTTTTTTAATTTCACGCGCGACACACGTCCCGTTCGCTCGACGTCAGAACAACAACAATGGAAATAACATTAAATTATAAAGGCATATGTTAAGCTCAAAATAGCACTGTTACGTTTGCAGACTTTTAGAGCAGTGTGGCCAGCGACAGCTCGAGTGCTGGTATAAAAAATACCAAGCAAAATGAAATTTGTTAAATTCTACGATTATTTTACATCATTTATGCTTATAAATCCATACATTAATTTGTTTTTGGGGAAAAATTGTTAAGAGATTATAAAATTATTTATTTTTATAAGTTTTTATATTTATTTATATTTTTAGAAATTATTTCAACTTTGTTTATTATTTTTTAATCTATACAAGTTACAAACATTTATTAAATGTTTTTGTTTTGTTTTTTTTTTTTTTAGAAAAACTGTACAAATTGTCATTGATTTTAAATTATGCATCGGTTATCACAGTGAAAACAAAAAATTTTTATATGGATTTTAAACTATGAAAAAATGATTCGACTTTAAAACTAAAATTTAAACTATTAATTATTAGTTTTTCTTTTTCTTCTTTTCGGACTGACCCAAGCCCTGGGATTCCTGATATTGCCGCACAATCTGTTCCTGTACATCGGGCAGGCATGGCGAATAGCGTGAATATTCCATGGTGAACTCGCCCTTGCCCTGAGTACTCGATCTGAAATTAAAAAAATAAATATTTATCAATAAGAATTCTTGTTGGGTTTCGTTAGTTCAGTTACCTCAGTTCACTGGCATAGCCAAACATGTCGTTGAGCGGCACCTCAGCGTAGACGGTGAACCAGCCCTCAGTGCCTTCTGTGCCTGTGATGATGCCGTGCCGCTTGCTCAGATGACCCATGACAGCGCCTTGGAATTCCTCGGGCGCTGTCACCTCTACCAGCATGATGGGCTCCAGTATTTGCCAGGCGCCATTCTGGAAGACCTCCTTGATGGCGCCATGGGCAGCCAACATAAATGCCAGCTCACTGGAGTCCACAATGTGATGACCACCATCCTGTAGACGGAATCGAATGCCGGCCAACTTATGCCCAGACAACATGCCGCGCTCGCTCATCTCACGGTAGCCCTTCTCCACGCCGGGCACAAACTGCTTGGGAACATTGGTGCCTACTGTTTCGTCCACGAATTCGAGCAATGTATTTTGAGTGGGTGGCAGTGGCTCCATGACGCCAATAATGCGGGCATACTGACCCGAACCGCCAGACTGCTTTTTGTGGAGGTAATCGAATTCGCAGGGCCCCACAAGCGTTTCTCGGAATGCTACCTTGGGCTTGCCCAGCGTCACAGGGCAGCCATACTCGCGCTCCATGCGCTGTGCATAGATCTCTAAATGCAGCTCACCCATGCCAGAGACAAGCGTTTCCTTGATATCATTGTCGAATTTAAAATGGAAGGTGGGATCCTCCTTGGTGAACCGAGCAATGGCCTTAGAGAAATTGTCCCGATCCTTGGTGTTGTTTGGCTTAATGGCCATGGACACAACCGGTTCGGGCACAAATATCGATTCCATGGACATATTATTCTTGGGATTGGTGGTGAAAGTGTCGCCCGAAGCGCAGTCAACGCCAAAAAGTGCAAAAATGTCGCCGGCAAAGACCTCGTTGACGTCCTCCATTTGATTGGAGTGCAATCGGACGAGACGGGCGATGCGCACCTTTTTGTTGTTGCGGGCATTGAAGATGTTGTCACCTTTGCGGAGCACACCCTGATAGCAGCGCAAATAGGTCAATTGGCCAAAGCGACCAGCCTCCAGCTTGAAAGCCAATCCCATGAAAGGTTCCTTGCCATCTCGCGCCGGATTGAGAACAACTTGTTGTTTCTCTTCACCCTCCTTTTCGATGAACGCGAGGTTTTCAACCTCTCCTGGGTTCGGCAGGTAATCGATAACTGCATCGAGCAGCGGCTGCACGCCCTTATTCTTCAGTGCCGTGCCCACCAAGACGGGTGTAAAGGTACGCTTAATGCAGGTGCGTCGCAGTGCCGCTTTAATGTCCGCCTCCGTGAAGGGCTTCTCCTCCAGAAAGAGTTCGCCCAATGTTTCGTCAGCGTTTGACAGATGTTCAATGAGCTCCTGCCGACGCTCCTGACTCTCGACACGCATATCCTGCGGTATCTCGTCTAGGCGCAAATCCATGCCATGCTCACCTTCGAAGTATATGGCACGTTCCTGCACAAGATCCACAATACCTTTACAGCTGCTCTCCACACCAATAGGCAGCTGTATAAAGGCGGCGTTGTGGTTCAACTTCGAACGCATCTGCGACAGCACTCGGTAGGGATTTGACCCCATACGATCTAGCTTGTTGATAAAAGCCAGGCAGGGCACATTGTACCGCTTCATTTGCCTGTTCACCGTTAAAGTCTGGCTCTGAACGCCACCCACAGCACATAGCACAAGCACAGCGCCGTCCAGGACTCGCAGAGCACGCTCCACCTCGACCGTAAAGTCCACGTGACCGGGTGTATCAATGATATTGATGTTGGTATCCTTCCACACCGTGTACGTAGCCGCTGATTGAATGGTAATACCACGCTGTCGCTCCAGCTCCATGCTATCCATCGTTGCGCCCACATTGTCCTTGCCGCGCACCTCGTGCATCTCAGCAATGCGTCCTGTATAAAACAGAATACGTTCCGTTAGCGTTGTCTTACCGCTGTCTATGTGAGCCGAGATGCCAATGTTGCGGATGCGCTCGATGGGCTTATGCTCTGCGTATTTTGCATGGGAGCTGTAACCGCATTGTAGCTAAAAATGCATCCGAAATTCAAATTACATAATGAGCCGATTGATCATGCTATAGAACTGATGAAATACCAATTAAATACATACCTGACGCACAGTTTTTAGCGCGCTAAGACGCAGCGGCAGGTTGCTGTTTAGCACACGTGTTATTAGCGTCATTTTTAATGCTTTTTAATTAATAAATTAGGTAATTTTACTAAAAACACGCGCTCGGTGCCGCAGCGACAACAGCTGGTCGCGTAAAGAGTAAGCAGTGCTGCTTAACAGTGCTGACATTAGTGCTGGTAAATGGCCACACATCGATAACTTTGCTATCGATAAGCCCAATTTGAATTTGAATTTTGGCACCATAAAACTTAAGTATTTGAAAGCAGCAATAAAGTGTTAAACATATCTTTTTCGTAAATACATTTCAAATGAAAAATAAATGTATACTGCTGAAGGATTCTCTCTAAAATCAGCTGAAAGATTCTCCTCTGGCTCAGTTGAAATATTCGCTTTTAAAATTCTTTGCCGTACAATTATTTCGCTCCGGAAGATGCGCCTTAAAGTATGCTGTAAGTGAAAAGCCCGCTTTTAAGTTACCTGAAGGAGTTGCTTATGAAAATATTGCAAGACTTGAGAAGCCCAGTGAAACAGATTTAAAATATTTATTCGAGATCAATTCCAGGAGATCGAAATGTGTTCGGTTTGTTTTGTGTGTTGATATGTTAACATTACAATATTTAAATTAAGTGAGAATATCTATATTGGTTTGTTGCAGCTTTGTGCCATTAAGCGCACACGGAATCGAAGAGGGGGACGGTTACGGTAACGATGTCTTGTACATAAATACATATATAATACCATTAATACAGATATATTTCTTAGTGTTTTACAATAAATATTTTGATGCCGCTTGCTGGCTAACTAAATCATCGATTCAAACGGAAGTTTCTGTTGATGTAAGATATCCACGCCACAATGGCTTCGTCGTATCAAATTTTCGGTTCTGTAAAAACGAAATTCGGAAATTAATAAACGCGAGCAAAGCCAAGATTCAAATCTAGTTCTGCCATCATACCTAAACACATATAGTAAAATACAAGATTGTTAACGAGCAGATTATTATGAGTTATTTTTAGACATCAACACGATGCAAATGAGTTGATGTTTGATTGACTGATTGACTGATTGATAGATGCTTGATACGTTTTAATGGGAGCAGGCAGATACGAAATCTTATTGAGTGCTCTATATGTATTTATGTATGTACAATGTGCCACACTCAGAACTATGCACAAAATACACTGAAACAAAAAGAGACTAGGGCGCACAGAATGAAACATAGAGATATAGAATTAATACTTTTATTCAATATTTAGACGTATGCATATATATTTATGTATTTAATGAATAGACGTGTGTTTCAGAACTTAGCATACTGCGTAAATTATAATACATTTGTATACAGCTATTTGTTTGGTATTCATTTCAATTGTGTTTTGGCTAAGTGTTTCCAAGACGGCTTTTCACTAATTTCTCATGCGTTAGTTTAATTACGTACACCAATAAATCCGCACCCTACAATATGATCACAGCTTATCTAACCCAAGTATTATCGATCGACTTGAAACGAGCCCGACAAATTCTTTGTGTGTGTTTGTGTCAAATTAAGATCAAACATAAAAGGAACCATTTATATAGAGTCGATAATTGTATAAGGAGAGTTCGTGTTACTTTGAATTGACACTGGTTCGGTATGAAATCTGTTATAAAATTGCTTTAAAAAAGTGTTATACATTTGGCTATTCCTATAGCCTTTGAGCCCGATAATACTTCTAAAACTAGTTTAGCTCAGCTCAACATCTATGCTGTGAATATTTTTTCTTTAGGCAGATAGTAAATTCTACTGGCACACTTACAAATGTTTACCCAACTTTCTCAAAAATTCACTACGAATAATTTGTATATATATATATGTTATTTTTATGATATATTCGACATTCACGCGCTCGCTAGGTTCGCTCTGAGGCGATCTAACGAAACTTTGTGCATTTGTTCTACGCATTGTGAGTTCTCAACGAAACATCGGTTCGCTTAGGTAGTTTGGTATATAATTGGGTAATGCCCGATGGGGCCACTTAGACGGGTGTTATGTTCGCTGGGCTCTGGGCGGCAACAACGGCACCTTCGAGCTTGGCAGCCGCCTCCTTGCAGTTGCTCGGCTGCTGTTGGCTTGTCGGCAGCATTTGAGTTGTCATCTTGTTTGTGGTGCTCTCATTGTACTCATCGGCCTCGTGCATGGGCGATAGGCGTGGCGAAAGGGCAGCATTGGTTGAGGAACTGAGGAGCATGGTCGAATGCAAATGAATGATATTTATATATGTATATATAAATGTGTTAGTAAAGATGTTTAGCTTGGCCTATAGGTGACTCGACTAGCCGCATACGAGTCGGTATACTCGGGAGTGGCTGCTTGTAACTACTCTGGTACACTTACTGGTTGCCATTGATATGACGCACTTTAACGGTAACGGGTATGATCAGCTGCTCGGAGGTGCCGTCCTTGTTGATCTGCTGCCAGACTGTCGTACGATTCACGTCCGTTGGTGCAGAGCCCGCAGCAGTGCTGCCCATTTTGTTGCCCGTTAACGGTATGTGTATGGTTGTGGCCGCCGAGCCAGCGCCGGCGCTCTTCGAATTATAGGCAGCACTCCCAGTGCCGGCGGGCGGCTGTTGATTCTGATGATGATTGTCCTTCAATAGAAGACATTCATAGGCATAGTTTTTGTTTGTTGGTTTTATGATTTTCCACAGCTCACAAAAGTATAAGAGTGAAAGAGATATAAAGTGAAGGTGGAGAGAGAGAGAAAGAGAGATCGCTCTGTGTCTTAGATACGTTGTGGGTGAGAGTGTGTTCTTTCTAAGAGCCAATGCGGTGTGGTGTGGCGTGGAGCTATAAATTTAGATGTCGTTTTCTCTCGTTTTGTTTTGCCAAATACTTTTATTTTTTGTATTTTTTTGGGTTTTGTGTTGGCTTTTTAATTTACAACAATGTCGCTACAATTTATTAATATTTTTTGTTTGCCAATTTCGTTTCGTAGTTTGTAATTTGTTATGGTTAGTTACTTGTACTATGATCTTGTTGTGGACTATAAAATTATTTAACATGTACATTTAATACATTTACACCGTGTAAACGCGTCAGCGCCGACTACTTAAGCTTAAGTTTCATTAACATATACATACATATAGATATTTAGTATTGATATAAATACAATATAGTTCAGAGTAGCATAGAGTAAGTAAAGATAACACATTTCATAATTGAATAATATGCATTGGGAAATAATAGAATTTCGGTAAGCATATACAAATGGGGCCGTGGGCTTAGGTACAATTACGTTTGGATTTAATTGCAATAGCATAATAATTGAGCAATTAGATGGAGAGTAAAGACAACAAAACAAAAGTATATAGATAAAGTCGTATGAGCAAACAGATATTTGAAGAAAATGTTTAACAAAATGCAAAAATGTTGCATGCTACGAATTAAAAACAAAAATTGCGAAACAATTTACAGAATACTGTTAAAAAAGAAACACAGCAAAATGTTTTCACTCGTATGTCTATACGAAGGCGTTATGTAAGAACCCATAGATATATATAAATAGTAAAGTAATGCATTTTTATACAACAAAATGCAGAAATCTCTAAAAATAATTTCCATTATAGAATACCAACAAATTAGATACAAATCAAATCGATCCGTGGTGGATTGTGCAGCACTGCAAACGCAAACGAAATGGGCAGCACTGGAGTGTTAAGTGTTTCTTTGCGTGTGACCAGATCAATCAATCAATCCGGCTTGACTGTCGTTTTCAATTGTGATGATGTGGTGTGTGCTGTGTGCTGTGTTTGGGGTTTTGTTGTCTTTGTGTCTGTGCCAAGAGCGAGGCGTGCCCCGTTTACTTGTTGAGCAAACTACTTTGTGCCTCGAACTCCTTCTCATTTGCATTTGAGGTATTGCACTTAATCAGGGCGACGGCATTGGCGCCGACGTCCATGCCACCATCGAGGCTGCCCTTCGGTTCGCGCTTGCCGCGACCACCGAAGCAGGGTAAATATTTCTGACAAAAGCCCACCTCAGCGTCCAGTTGATGCAGATCGTCCGCCGCAGCGCGTTTCGTCATCTCCGGCATAATATCGTCCAGTATTTTGAGCTCGCGTCGAGTGAACACAAAATCTAAGGACTTGCGTATGCCAATCATCACCACCAACATCAGTGGGAAGAGGATCGAGGTCTGGGAGAAGCTCTTAATGAGCCACAAGATAATCAGACAGGCCAACTGTATGATTGTAAACAAATGTACGCGCTTGATGGGTACCTGCAGGAGCAACAGCAGAGATTACGGATAAGACACCTTTGGCCTTGGACTCTAGCCAGGTGGACTTACCTGACGCAGGAACATGTAGTCCGGCTGATATTTGGCTGGCATGAACATAATGAGAATGCGATCGAAGAACTGCAGACCCTTGAGCGAGGCCACGCCCATGTAGAGAAAGACGCCAAACAGCACCGGCATGGGAATGTGTCCGAGCAGCGGTGTCAACAGCACCGAACCGCCAATTGTCAGGAAGATCATGATGTGAGTCACACGCTGCTCGCGCACACCCAAGAACTGCGGCTTCTCACCAGGGGCACTGCACTCCGATTCCAGTTTCAGTGAATTGACATGATTAATGCTCAGCACAGTGGCCGCCACGAACCTGGCAATGGGTAGACATAGTTAGACTTGACCAAGGCCAGGACTATTAGCGCTCATCACTCACCATGGCAGGCCCATCATGCTGCAGATGGCAATCAGGCCGGAGAGCACAAACAGATCCAAATGGTAGCCACAGCCCTTCTTCAACTTGTTCTCCTTGCGATTGACGATCACAGCCGTGATTTGCTGATCCATAAATATGAGTATGGTGCCGAGCATGGCTGGGAACACGGCGATGATCGGTGACCACCAGGGATTCTTCTCGGTGAATGGCGGTATTAGCCAGCCGCGTGTGTTCAGCGTCGGCTTCAGTTCATGCGGCACCTCCAGCTTCTGCGTGGGCACGCCCAGCGAGTAGTCAAAGAAGGTCATCGCGAAGATGGCAATCAGAACCGAGAAATCGCTAATATATTGTCGAACGATTGAGGGGAAGAACAGGGCATTCTTGAATTCCTTGAGCATGGTCGAGAAGATAAAGGTGCCACTGCACAGAACCACGGACATGAGGAAGACGTTTTCGGTGGGTGGAGTACCGCAGTCGGTGCCAGTGAGTGTGCCGTTGTAGAGCTAAACGGGGGGAGGGAGTGATTAAGAGAGAAGCCAATAGCTGAGGGTTAAGTAAGTTCGAGACTTACCTCACATGAATCCCATTTATACTTGGCAAACTCCATCACGCTGGCATTACTCTGCAGTGGCGGCGTACAGATGCAATCGTAAATGCCCTGATTTACCGGGAAGGTCTTACCAATAATGACCACATTCTCGATGGCCTTGTAGACGAAGATAACAGCGATTAGGGTGGCAAAGTTCTCCTCGGTGAAGCGCGTTATGTAACAGACGAGCGCGCTGGCATCGATCGCGGTCAGCACGATACAAATGGCGGCGACCCACATGCCGATCCAGAACCGGAATGTCATATAGTCCCAGCCCTGAGCCATCGAGAACTCATAGACAATGGACTCAAAGACCAGTACTGGACCGGTGGAACCCAAAATTGTCAACGGCTGACCGGAAAAGAAGCCATAACCCATGCCGCAAACAAATCCCGATACCAGCGACTCCATGGCAGCCATATTCTTGCCCGTGGCCTCCGACAGCAGGCCGCCAAATGTGATGATCGGCGAGAGACATGCAAAATACAAGAAGATCCACGAAGCCACGCACTGCATGGAGAGCGCATCGCGATAATCGCTCCAGTACCAGGGCGACTTGCGCTTAAAATCATTGATCAATCCGCCAAATAGACGCCCGGTGCGTGACAGGCCGGACTCTTCGCGCAAACGCTGCTCCTCCTCCTCCTCGTCGATCTCCTCCTTGGGCAGCTCGGGCGGTCGCTTGCGTATCTCCTGGGATGGTATTGCTGCTGGTGGCTCAATGCGTATGGTTGGATCCCATTCGCCTGGTGGTAATACTGTAACCGCATCCAAAAACTCATCCACGCCGGCCAGCAAGTGATCGCGTTTGCGTGCCCTATAAGCCACCTCATGGAAGATCTCGTCTGACATCAGCGTGGCCATGGCCCGTCCTATCTCATGGAAATTACTCTGGCTACCCGGCGGACCTAGCAGTATGAAAATGAATCTGTGGAATATTTCACATAGAAGTTGAAGCTCTTCCCGTAATCTTATACTGTTTGATGATTGGCTCACCTGGTGGGCACTGGCACCTCGGTGAGATCACCCATGACGGCCGCCTGGCTCAGGCGGATGAAACAGGAGAGTGTGCGCTCCAGGAAATCCACCTCGCCCACCAGAATGTTGCTCGCCTCCGCGCCTGGCGGTATTTTGCGCATGAAGTGCGTGTTGCCCTTGTGTTGCTGCTCGGCCAGCTCCGTGCCGCTGGTCTGCCTGGCCATCGAGTGGCTGCTGGGGCTCTTGACCATGTCCTCTGTGATCATGGGCAGATTTTGTTTGGGCCGCAGATTTTTGGAATTTGATTTGTTCTCTACATTAGTCAAGTTCGGTATCGCAGGGTGTTGTGTGAGGTTCGTGGTTGGGTTGCGATTTTTCGTGTTAATTTTTGGTTTTGGATTTTTTGTGGTTCGGGCGTGCGAGTTGTTGGTAGAGTTGTGTATTGTTTATTGTTTATTGGATATATAGGCATTACAACAACGGCAACGGCAACGGCAACGACAACAACAACAGAAAATCATAAATTTTGTAAGGAAAAAATAAAACAATAGAATTGCGAAAAGTTTCATTTAGAAATTTTCATTTCAGGACAAAGAACAACATGCAAAAAACGGTAAATTTTATGTGTGAGTGAAAAGCGTGCTTGTGTGTGTGTGTGTGTGTGTCTTGAGGTGTATTTATATACTCAAAGTTCTCACATACTTAGAGCTTGTTAGAAAACTGTTGTTGGTTCCAATGTTTCATCAGCCAAGGCACATGCAAATTTTCTTTCTTTTCGATTTTGGCTTTTCTGGATCTATTTTTCTATATATTTGTTTTTTTTTTTTTTGACTACCAAATAAAGAGACTACATTTGGGTTCGAATTGCAGTTACAATTTTTGTTTGTAAGTAAAACAAAGAAGCAGACACGTAAACGATAACGATAACGATAACTTTTGGTTCTTGATAGTTGGGGAAGTTTTTGGTTGTTTACCAAGCGCTCTGTTGCTGGGCTTGCCGGGCACCGTTAAAAAACGCCCCATTCCCATGCCCAGTGCACTGGAACTGCCATTGGTATTGCCAGGTGGTCCGGGCTCGCTGGCGGTCAGCGACAGCGGCGTTGTAGCCATTAAACTGCTCCCAGACTGCTCTTCAACTGCAAATTGTTTTTTTGTTTTTGTTTTGGTTCATTAAAATGTGTAAAAACAGAAAAACAAAACTAAATCAAAACTGAAAAACCAAAAATATATCTAAGAATCTCGCGTTAGGTCGATTGCATCATGTTGAAATTTATATCTGTCTATGGCTGGAACCTAGTTCTATGCCTCGTTTAAATAGTGTGTGAGTTGACAGCACAAAAAGTAGTTTTCGGGCTTATAGAGAAGTTGTTCAAAAAGGTTTCAGAAAGATCAGATTGATTTTCAAACAGAAGCGAGTTGGAATATTTGGCATAAAGTGAGAGATAGACAGAGAGAGAGACAGTGAGAGAGAGAGAGAGAGTTGGATATAATAGTTTAACTAGTTAGATATCTTTGTTAAATACAGCGTGCTATGGTAGGTACACTTTACGCAAAGAAGTAAAACCATATAAAGAGTTTGGAATAGATCGTTTTTGGCTATTACTTGGCAAGTGGCTCGTCGTTGGCTGCTGTGTTGCTTGTCCTTGTTGGCTAGATGGGACATGCGAGGGCGAGGCGCCCGCATGAAACCAGGTGGTAACGCCAATAGCGCCCATGTCGGCTTACGTATAATAGGAGCGTGAAAATCGAGAGCGAGCGATGGTTAGAAGTTGTGTTAGCAAATGCTTACACAGCGCAGCTTGGTGACTTACTTAGCTAGTGTTTGTGGGTGATTGATGGATGGAAAACGAGATGATTTAGCTGATGGTATGCATGAGCGATATCGTAGTCAAAGTGCATTAAGCTGGCATTGATACGATCATACTGAGAACTTGACTTTCTATTCAGGACCAGAGTAACGAGTCAGCTATGTGCGTGCTCTCTATACAGCTGATGTGGATCTGGAGCATTTGGCGGTGCATTGAAAGCAACTTGTTTGTTTTTTTTTTTGTGTGGGAGATACCTGTGGGAACAGCGAGATAACAACCACGCTGATCCTTACTGGCCACATAGGTAGGCGTCACGGGCGAACGGCATCCATCCAAGCCAAAACCAGGTGACGAGGCATGCAGTGACTGCCCAGTTGCGTCTAAGCAACCCCATTTGAGTTTTGGTGGGCAATATTTAAGTGAATATAGGTTTTTAGTATCGGACACTCGACTCATGATGATGATGCGCAACAAACGAACGAGATGAGCTTAGAGTAACCTGATCAAGTACTGGAGCGTATCCAGGGCAATACTCACTTTTTGACGACGACTGATTGCGCATGTCCGCCAGGGAGCGTATGATCGGCAAACGGGTTTTCTTGGCATACTCGTGCTGATGACGATGCCGGCGCAACAGGGCATCCTTGACCTTGTCCTTGACGTTGGCGGGCAGTGTGCCTCCGCTGACCATCTGATCGCAGACCAGATCGGCCACTAGCTCCAGGTTGGTGGCCTCCATGTCCAGCATGACGCTGCCGTTGGTCAGCAGGCCACGCAGCTCGAATAGGGCGTGCAGCGAGAGTGTTGCCACATGGGGCTTGGACCAGCGATTGCCACCCTCTTCGACATCCTCCTCGAATTTGATCCAGCGTGCCGTTTCCTTCCATTCAATCTCATCGCCTTCCTTCACCAGCGTGCCCATCTCCGAGAACAGAGGATGCGACACATGGGAGCCATCGTCCACATCCTCACCCAATATAAATTGTACGCGTTGCGCGGGCGGCGTCACTGGAGATAGGTTGAAGGTTGAAAAATACGATTAGCTTGTTTAATATGTAAGACATGGCCAAAACCCGCTTAATTGGCCAACATAAATAGCGCCAATCCGTTTGGGATTTGCCCTCGAACAGATGGCCTTTCAGCTGTGGGTTAGTTGTGGGCTTGCATGATGTAGGCTGTGCCTGATGATTCTTGATGCTGATTATAAATGAGCCTTGAAAGTTAGCTATGATAGATGTATCCTAAATAGACACCTGAGCTTCAAGCGCTTGAGAAACTTTAACTCTTGCAATCAAAATTGGTTTTAAATCATATTTCAAAAACCTTCAATCGAACTGCTTGAGAATTTCTTGTTAATTTTTAGTATTTTATTTAAGTTGTCTGCTTCAATCCAGCTGCCTAAAGAGCATGTTTGTTCTCTCAGCATATTTAGACTCCAGCACGTACCTAGTTACGTACTCATAAACAAGTTTGTATCTTTAGGATTAGCCTTAAACTCATATCATAAGCTGTAAACTGAATTCCTAAACATAAACAGGGAGGTTAACACGCTGCCGCCTTACAGTATAAAAGGGCATTTGTTGCTTTTAAGTGAAAGATTTTCAATGCATATAAACATTGAGTGGGGCATAGATAGATGTAGACATTGTCAGGAAGCTTGGCTAAGTTTGTTGACATTGTAGTAATATTGTTAAACTCATAACTTATATAAATAACTGTAGCTCAACTTGAACTCATATTCATGTCATCTATAACTCAGCGACAAGACAGACGTAAAATGATTCATGGCAAATCTTATGCTATATTTTAGCAACTTAATGTTTACAGTTATTCGAAATAGTATTTCATTTGGTTGACTCTTTACTATGTCATTGGAATTCATTATTTATTTAATATAGCTGCGCTTAGAACCTCTATCTAGGCTTCATTCATTTTAATCAGCGCCTGTGGTTGCACAAGCAGCTCTGATTTGTTGTATGCCTGTAATTGTGCGTCCTGCTGGTGGCATCTGTACGTCCTCTGTAATTTGCTACTATTCTGACGCTGTCACATTGATTGGTCACATCCCAACTCACATGTCCCTCTAGCATTTTATATTTTCAGTAAACACACGCACAGGGAGACGCGGGGACTGTGTGGCACCCACCTGGACGCTCCACTTCCAGTTGCTTGTCGCTAATGCTGTCGCGGCCAACGCTGCCAGCGGACGTTGCGCCAGTGCTGCCGCCATGGTGATGCTTGCGACGGCGCTGCGAGTGCCGTCGGCCGCCGGGCACGTGCACGCCCACGTAGACGGTGTGTGCGCGGTGTCCTGCAGGTGCGTGGATACAAATACAATGCGGGGCTTAATTGATTACTACACAAATACGACAACGTCAACAACAACAGCAACAAAAGAGAGAAATAAAATAACATGCATAATTCCATTTATCACGCATTGCCCAGGGAAATCTATTGGAAAAGTTGTCAATTTTTGTTGTTTAAAAAAAAAACGAGCTTTAGATTTCATGGCTGATAAAAACTGATGACAAGCTGATAATTTGTGTCTGCTAGCAGTATACGATGCGCTGACTCAGCAGCTTCTCAACTGTGCCTAATTGTACCTAAATAATATATGTACATTACTTGTTTCCAGGTCTTTGTAGTACTACGTGCTTGCCATATATTCTGTCCTATGACAATTTCCATTGCGACTTCGTCAAAGTCGCTCGTCTGTTGCCCGACTAATTGTGAGATCATCTGTGTAGCTGTATCTCGGTTTGATCATAATTTCAATTAATTATATGTAACCATTTTTTAGACTGATAGATATGTGTACATATGTATATATCTGTACTATATGCTGATATATATATATATGTATCAGGGTCTGGTGGGCGTTTTTATGCATTTAATTTGCACTTTGTACAGTGGAGATTGCTTACAGGAAACGCTGGGCAAACTGATCCGATTAACAATTGTGCATTAGAAGACTATACGAAGCGGTTCAAACTAGTAAAAAGTGGAAAATGTGTGAAGGTAAAAGATTGCAGTGAAAATATGTGGAATATGAATTGTGGATTGAATGAGGTTGATGGGGAGATATGAATGCAAGAAATAATATATACAAATTAAATATAAAATAAAAGTAAATGGCTTAAATAATGATTTATCTAAATTTAATTAACAAAAAAAAATTATTAAAAATAAAATATAATTAATAATTAATTATAATAAGTCTCATTCAGCTTGAGGCTCTTACTGAGTTTATTTCTTATTTAGAGTTTTACTAAATTGAACTAAAAATTTGCTTAAAGTCGATTTCTTTCAAAGTCTGGGCTCTAAGCACTAATCACTTAATCATTCAATTAATTTATATTCTGGAAAAATTTGTTGTAATAAAGAGCTCTAAATAAATATTCAAAATATTTCGAGCTCATAAAAGCTCAATTATTCATTTTTTCAGATCAGTTGCATCACGTTTCTAATAGAATAATTTATATGTTTAGCCACTAAGCGTATTTTAATTGTCTCATTAATAACACTTGAAGATTACAACAAATTTGCATTTGAGAAAAACGAGTTTACATAAATTAAAAAAAAAATAAAGATTCAAAATGAAATTTGTAGGGAATAATTTATGCAGCTCAAAACAAAATAAATGTTGATTGATACATTTGTAGCTCTGCCTGTTTAGTTATAACTCCTTCACATTTCATAAATTGCACTTTGACTGTGTCACATTTTGGCCATGTATTTCATGGCGATTTAGCCCTCGCCCTGCTCTGCCTTGCTGGCAATTGTGTTTGACAAGTTTGTAAATTTATTTAAGCAAAGTTTGCAAATTAATAACACGTGAAGATTACAACAAATTTGCATTTGACAAAAACGAGTTTACATAAATTAAAAAAAAATAAAGATTCAAAATGAAATTTGTAGGGAATAATTTATGCACATTTGTAGCTCTGCCTGTTTAGTTATAACTCCTTCACATTTCATAAATTGCACTTTGACTGTGTCACATTTCGGCCATGCATTTCATGGCGATTTAGCCCTCACCCTGCTCTGCCTTGCTGGCAATTGTGTTTGACAAGTTTGTAAATTTATTTACGCAAAGTTTGCAAATTGGTTTCGTAATACGGGGCCGAATGCGCGGGCGTGTCTGGAATCGTTTAACGAGCAAACTTAGCATTGGTAATCAGCCAACAGGTCGTGTTGACAACATGCCAATGCATTGCGTATACGCAGAGTTGTGCACTTTGAATCTTTCACTCTGTCACTCACCTTCGAAATCGTTTTCTGTAAATTGTTGAGTAAAGTCCTCGCCACCAGTGCGCGGATCCTTGGGCGCCTCATCGTCACCACTCGAGGAGTTCATGTTCCAGGGCCTGCAAAGAGTTCAACAGACCAAAAACGTTTAGTTAAAACAAATCTGAATTGCATTTGTTAGCTCATTAGCTTTGATGATCCCAAATGTTGTTCTACAAAAATAAATATAAACAATTTAAAATCGTAAAACAACTTGCAGTCACTTCAACAAAGTTTTTCATACTAAGGCCCAAAACCTGATCACCCACTCAAAAACCCCTCAAAAACAATCTGAAAAAAAAAAACAAAAAATCAACAAAAAACCTGATTTGATCGCGTCATCAATTTGACTCAAAACAAAACTCTTTGTGTTTACAAATTAGAACAGCTGCTCAAGATCACAGTAATCTCAGTTAATTGTGAACAACAAGATGAGTCGATTTTTCACGTGCTCTCAGTAAGTCTTGCCTTGAAACGAAAAACCTTGTAATGGGCCTCTTATAGCGTCGACACCAAGGAAGGTTTAGGAATTTATTTGCATAGAATTAACAGAGAAGTCAATATCAGCATTTTCGCTTGACTCTACTGGACTCTACTGGACACAGTGCATATATAATTTGTAGACATAAATTCTTTATAGTTTTGCTTAAAAGATCTTAAAGATATCTTGCTCAATAGAATTGGGCAAAATAAAATTTTGAAGCTGAAATAAAGCTCATAAGGGAAAAGGTTTATATAAAATAGTGCTAAATAAGCGAAACTTTTAATTAAAAATATCCAATTGAATTAATTAATTCGGCACTGCTCTTTAGAGAACATACTATAAACTCTATCCATTATTATGCATGAAATAAAGTTGAATCAATTAATTAATATTTTTTAAATAGCTCAAAAATAAATATTGTTGAATGTGATTTTTTTAAGCTCAACGATTTCAAAGTATTTCAATAATAAAAAATATATATTAATAAATAATTATTTTATTATATATAATTTTGTTTAAAAATCACAAAAGTTAAATCAACTTTCACTGAGTGCTTTTTACATGTTTTGGAGCTTAAAAACAAAGAACTTTTGTTTAAGCTTTCTCATGTAAAATTCAGTTTAAAAAACTTATTTTTGTTTTATTTTTTATAGGCTTGTTAATTAATTGTACTTGATAATTAATTAATTGTACTTGATTAACTGCCATATGAAGTTAGCACAAAAGTGTTAATGACCAAACATATTTCTATATGAACAAATTTTATAAAAGACGACAATCAGTCTACTGAAAAGAGTATTTGAACTTTGTGAATGCCAGTGCAACAGTTGAAATTTATGCGATGTCTCATGTTTCAGTTTGCAATTGCTGAATAAATATTGTATTTAGCTGCATCTGTTTGATATTCTATTTCAAATTCTTCATTGCTTTTGAAGTACAGTTGTAGGCATGATTAATAAATATATACTTCAAGCTGTTATAAACTAATGTCAGAACCTTAAAACTATAACAAATTTAATCACAAGCAAGTTGTATAATAAAAAATCAATATGCACTAGCAGATACCCTGTTTAATGTGTTCGCTCTTTCAAAATAAACAAATATTTAATAAACTCATATTCAAGTTATACGTTCATTAACAGACTTAAAATATTTACTATTGTATTTAACAATTGACGATTATAAAAATCTATTTTTGGCTCTGTATTGATATAGACATGTTAATACGCGCTCTAATAAAGGTTTGCATAACTTTTTTATACCCCTTTTAATTGCGCGTGTGTCATAGACAAAAAGTGTGTATATAAATATATATTTATATACAGCCTATAAATGTTTATAAAGTTTAACATCTTGAGTCAACATCGGCATTATCAACCATCAAAAAAGCTTATCTGTTACTAAATATATACTCGTATATACGAATCTATGTATACACATATGTCAACATATAATATAGCCAGTCCAACTGATAGATAGACCCTCCAGGCTGTCTGCTTGTGTAAACTGGGCCGATTTCATCTGACTTGAAACCACTTTTCAGTGTCCCGGGCGCAATTCTATAGCAATCTTAAGTGACTCACGTATCGCCGGGTTCAAAGCACAATCATAAAAGCCGCCAGATATGCATATATGTTATTTAAGCCTTTTATAAGTAAATCTGAGACAAGTGTTTGATTAAACTTTATGAAATGACTTTTAAACAAAGAGATAATATTATATAAAGAACGCCAAGAACTTGTTCTGCCTTTGTCCTTGGACTTCTTGAGATAAGTGCGTCAATGAGACACTTCGAGTGGCCCATTAAACACTGATTTCGATACTCGTTTACGAATCATAAAGAGTGTAAAGGTTTATTACAAGTTTCGTAATACTTCTGCGCAATATAATCGAGTTTTAGAGAAGTGAGAGATTTAAAACGTCTTTCGAGTATACAAAGTTAAAGTTGGGCAACAAATCCATAGTTTGAATATTTTATAATAGTTTTTAGGCTGGTTCATCACATGTGATCTTTTATATAGATTGGAATGAAGGTTTATTTAGCTACGATGCATGTTTTATTCACATAAATCGAAATAGATTCCACAGTCAATCACACTCGCTACATTTTATTTTGAGAACTTCAGTCACTTGTGTTTGTAATTTGATCTTATCTGATCTGGATAACTTGTTACACTTTTTACTTACGTTGAGTCTTCATTATTGTGAGCCATAACTTTTCGGCCCACCTACAAAACACTTGCGACGATCGCGAATCGCTGATCGAATTGCGCTTTATCACACGTTGCGTTGGGCGATGAAGATAGGCACAAAGCGTGTATTAACACCAAGGTTCGTTTTAAGGGTCTGTTATTACGTTCTGCTGTGTGGAGCTGTAGCGTGTTTATCACGCGATTCTACCGACTCGCTTCGAGCCCGGACGATTGCAGACTAACTACTAACTGGCCGATCTTAAAAGCGAAGCAGCGTCGGCGCTTAACCCGCTGCCTAGGCCTGTTTCTGCTGCTGCTGCTATCGCTGCTGCTGCAACGATTAGCGCCGGCAGCGATGCCAACAATTCACTGTGATTCATAATACAATCAGACCTCAGCGAATTGTTTTATTTTTGATAATTATTTATATTTTATTTTGAGAAAACTATATTCATAAAATATATAAAATTCTTTCTTTTTAATATTCGAAGTTAAACAGAAGTTTTCAAAAGCATTTCTACTTTGAAATACGACGAATATTTTGGCATAGTATAGTTATAGTAATAGTTTATAGGTTTTGTATAGCTATGATCTATATAAACTTTTTTTCTAATGTATTTTGTTAGTCTTTTAATAACAATTTTATTTTTCCAAATTTTTTATTTAATACTTATTTTATTTTTTGCAATCTAAATATACAAAAATTATGAGTAAATCTGTTTTCAACTGTTGCCCGTGATATTTGCTCCACTGTGCGCGAGTCACAGCGCGGAGAGTGTCACCGTGAGAGCATTGGGCAGAGAGAAACACATTATATGTATTTTTTAATCCCATAGGCTTCTTACTAAATGTGTTTTTAAACGTTGATTATCATTCTTGACCTTATCGATATTCGCCGTTTGGGCTCTTATCGCCAGGCTATGTACTACCATCGGGCCGACCGGCTCTTATCAATTGCTCTTCTTTACAAGTTGTTTACCTAACTTGCAATTAGTTTTTTTTTTTTATTTTGACTCTGTTTCTGTTTTACTTTTTTTATTACAATATTCTCCGAGGTGTTTGCTTTTTACGATTTGTTGCTTTTTTGCTGTGATTGCATTCAATATCAAAGAGCACTGACAAAACTGGTTACAGCTGCCCCATACTACATTTTTGTAAAGGAGAAGTTAATAATAAATATAAATTTTTTGTTTCGTGCGCGAATGTTGAATCCGTCTATTTCGTTTTAGCCAAATTGCTTCAATGTGTGGCGCCGAAAAATATATTTGTTTTCTCTCTCCACATGTGTTTTCAGCGCGACAAAAATAATAATTATTTTATTATTATTCTCATAATAGTCTAATTTCGCGCTTATTATATTTTTAGTTGTGTTTAGCATTTTGCAAAGTTTTTTAAGCAGTTTCGTTATTTGTTTTTTAATGAATATGTTAAAATTTGAATGTGAACTGCGCATAATTAAGCAGTTCAGTATTTACATATTCTGAATAATGCTGTTAGAGAATTTTGTTTGTTTACAAAATTCACTTATAATTATTTTTTATGACGAGTTGGGCAACTCTTTCTAATGAACCTAGAACAGTCTTCGAAGAAGTTTTGCTTTAGAAAATCAAGTTTGTGTATAAAAATAGCTTTAATTGTGTCTAAGTGAATGATATTTGAGAAAGAAAGAATTTGTAGAGTGGACATTGGTCAAATTTGTTAGCTTTGTCGAATTAGTAAAGGAATTTATTTTATAGATAGATAAGAGGGCTGTTTGATAAGAATATATCTATAGACAGCTTGGAAAAGATATAAATATAAATGCATAAAATATAAATTTTAAATGGCTAAATTGATATATATATAATTTATGCAAAAATGTAAAATAAATAAATTGAAGTATATTGAAATAAAATAAGTAAATTTTACATTAAAACAACATTTAGTGTTTTATCAGAAAAATTCTTAACGGAAACCCAAGCTCAATTTTAGCCAGCTTTACAGCTATAAATATATTAAAATTCAATTTAAATATTACTGTATTAAGCTGCTGTCTATTAAATATTTGGTTTCTTGCAAATTTTATAAGCAATTTTTGCGTATATATGTGTGTCTGTATGTATGTGTGTGATCGAGAACACCTCGTGCTCTGTGGTTGTTAATGTGCTTCCCTTTGTCTCGGCGCGACACTTTCCGCCTGAGCATAGTATCAGCTACTAACTGAATGGCCCCGAGACGACTCGCATCTATAGGTAAATTTATGTATATACATATATAGATGTATATATATATACTAATGAGTATTACCGCTTCGAATCGGAAAACAGCTGTTTGGCGCGGCTAAATTAAAAGAAAACTGAACATAAACACTGAAAGCTGCGAGGAAAAGCAAATATGTGCCGTGTGCTGACTTTATAGCGCCTGG